ACAGGTATCTGACTCCCCCACTACAGATATCTGACTCCCCCACTACAGATACCTGACTCCCCCACTACAGGTATCTCTCTCCCCCACTACTTGTATCTGACTCCCCCACTACAGGTATCTGACTCCCCCACTACAGGTATCTGACTCCCCCACTACAGATACCTGACTCCCCCACTACAGGTATCTCTCTCCCACACTACTTGTATCTGACTCCCCCACTACAGGTATCTGACTCCCCCACTACTTGTATCTGACTCCCCCACTACAGGTATCTGACTCCCCCACTACAGGTATCTGACTCCCCCACTACAGGTATCTGACTCCCCCACTACAGATATCTGACTCCCCCACTACAGATATCTGGCTCCCCCACTACAGATATCTGGCTCCCCCACTACAGATATCTGACTCCCCCACTACAGATATCTGACGCCCCCACTACAGGTATCTGACTCCCCCACTACAGATATCTGACTCCCCCACTACAGATATCTGACTCCCCCACTACTTGTATCTGACTCCCCCACTAAAGATATCTGACTCCCCCACTACTTGTATCTGACTCCCCCACTACATGTATCTGACTCCCCCACTACAGATATCTGACTCCCCCACTACTTGTATCTGACTCCCCCACTAAAGATATCTGACTCCCCCACTACTTGTATCTGACTCCCCCACTACAGGTATCTGACCAATGAACCATAGAGAAAACGTTGACCTAGATGCAGAAATCTCACGGTTCATTGACATTCAGCATCACGTGACAGACGCCATTGTTGGATCACCCGAATGTTGACCCCAACCATGTCATGTGACTCGTTGACTTAAACTCATGGTTTACTGGACTCGTGACTTCAGTCATACAAGTGGAGTCATTACAGATAACTTTCTCATATTGTATCATTACTTTGTATAATCTATGAGTTGCTTGTAACCTATTTTAGGCTTGCTACATTTCTACAGAGTTTACTGGAGGTGGCTGTAGATATTTGGAGCAACACGAGAGAGAGGGGGGGGGGACGAGGGGGAGAGAAATGGCCACAATGAGAACAGTTAACTACAGGTAGACTTTCTTCTCCCACCTCAATACAGATCGGAGGTCACCTTCAGCCCCTCTCACCCCCCCCCCCCCCCCGTTTTAATTTAGCACTACCATATATCTCACTTCTGCGTCACTTACCTGTGTGACCCTATGACCTTTCAGGTAAACGTGTTTTAATTTGGTTGGGATGTTTGCACAATTGTGTGTATGTTGGGCTATGTGTTTGAAGATAGAGAATGAACAATTTTAATCGAAAGCCAAAAAGAAACAAATGTAAACAACTTTGAATCGACTGACACTTGGTCAAGTTTGTAGCTTTCAAAATTTTGCACCTAACTAGAACATAATCGACGGCCAAAGTACACAACAATTAGCGACAACCTTTAAAGCAAATTCACACAGTAATTCACATCAAATACTTGACACAGTAATTCACATTAAATACTTGACACAGTAATTCACATCTAGTACTTGACTCAGTAATTGACATCAAGTAATTGACACTGTAATTCAATTCAAATAACTGATGCAGTAATTCACATCAACTACTTGACACAGTAATTCACATCTAGTACTTGACTCAGTAATTGACATCAAGTAATTGACACTGTAATTCAATTCAAATAACTGATGCAGTAATTCACATCAACTACTTGACACAGTAATTCACATGGATGTACTTGACACAGTAATTGACATCAAGTACTTGACACAGAAATTGACATCAAGTACTTGACACTATCAAACGCCAGCTAAAGACCAGGTTACTTCACGTGTATGCTACACGGGTCTCGCTTCTTGATTATCACATCTTTGTTAGTTTTACAACACATCTTTGTTAGTTTTACAACACATCTGTGTTAGTTTCACAACACATCTTTGTTAGTTTTACAAAAAATCTTTGTTAGTTTTACAACACATCTTTGTTAGTTTTACAACACATCCTTGTTAGTTTTACAACACATCTTTGTTAGTTTCACAACACATCTTTGTTAGTTTCACAACACATCTTTGTTAGTTTCACAACACATCTTTGTTAGTTTTACAACACATCTTTGTTAATTTTACAACACATCTTTGTTAGCATATTTGATAGTTTTACAACACATCTTTGTTAGTTTTACAACACGTCTTTGTTAGTTTTACAACACATCTTTGTTAGTTTTACAACACAGCTTCGTTAGTTTTACAACACATCTCTGTTAGTTTTACAACACATCTCTGTTAGTTTTACAACACATCTTTGTTAGTTTTACAACACATCTTTGCGAGTTCGTTTTGTAGCATACATTGGTTTGTTAGTTTTGTTAATTATTTTCAAGTCAGTTCCTTTCAAATATAGGATAATACCCAAGTGAAATATATTTACATCAGTGGGTAAACAACTGCAAATTGTGTATGTGAATGTTGTAGAGGTTTATATTACAGTAGAAGTTTATATAACAAATAACGGTTTATATCGCCAACAGAGGTGTATATAACCAACAGAGGTTTTTATCACCAAATAGGTTTATATCACCAATAGAGGTTTATATCACAGAGGTTTATATCACCAACAGAGGTTTATATTACAATAGAAGGTTTATATCCCCAATAGAGGTTTATATCACCAACAGAGGTTTATATCACCAATAGAGGTTTATATCACCAATAGAGGTTTATATTACAATAGAAGGTTTATATCCCCAATAGAGGTTTATACCACAGAGGTTTATATCACCAATAGAGGTTTATATTACAATAGAAGGTTTATATCACCAATAGAGGTTTATATCACCAACAGAGGTTTATATCACCAATAGAGGTTTATATCACCAATAGAGGTTTATATTACAATAGAAGGTTTATATCACCAACAGAGGTTTATATCACCAACAGAGGTTTATATCACCAACAGAGGTTTATATCACCAATAGAGGTTTATATCACCAATAGAGGTTTATATCACCAATAGAGGTTTATATCACCAATAGAGGATTATATCACAAACAGAAGTTTATATCACAGCTATGTCTTGTGACGTAGTCATACAGACGATACAAAAACCCAAGATAAGCATTTGGAAAAACGTTTCTAATTATGTATTGATTAATTAATTAATCCGATTAAAGGGCAACTTCAAACTTTGAATCGTTGCTAGCAAAATAACAGAGTAGACAAGATCACAGAAAAGATCACAGAAAAAATCACAGATTAGTTTGCAAGAAAAGTTTCATTCAACCTACACTACAGGAAAACTATCAGTAGACACACATCAACAATTTTCAAACGCTGAATTACAATTCCTTTCATTACTCACTTTCCGTTGGTATATACATTTTCTTCAGGCATCTCTACCGTTTCTTCCCCTTTCACCTTCGAACGAAATTGAAAAAAAGTAATTCATACAAAAGTATAGAAAAACCAGTATCCCCTACCCCCCCCCCCCCTCCAAGCACCACTTAGGCACACAAAACCCTACACCCTCCTCAGGACAGTTTTAAATTCCGCCCCCCCCCCCCCCCCCCGGAGATATATATCTAAAAGAAAAACCGGTTAGCATTTTGTAAAGAGAAGTGAGCTGAAAGTCACCAGAGTCGCCCGTGTAACGGGTACCAATGACTGGTAGAATATAAGATAGACGGAAAAACAGACACTGACAGAAAAATAAAAATATAACTTTTAGACTGAAAATAAAACAACAGAAAAATTAGCTGATAAGTCGACAAACACATGCCTTTTTCGCTAAAGGAGGGTTAAAATTAACTTGACCTTGACCTTTGATAACGCACGACATATCTAAGACAAGACTGAATCCAGGAATCTGGCACTTCATCCGGAAAATTTTGTGTACAAAATGTTTTATTTTCAAACATGCAACGGCAGTCGATAGAAAAGGTGGTTGGCTCTAGGCTCCCTTCCTCTCCCCCCATCCACTCCCCCCATCCTCTCCTCCCATCCTCTCCTCCCATCCTCTCCTCCCTTCCTCTCCTACCATCCTCTCCTCCCTTCCTCTCCTACCATCCTCTCCTCCCATCCTCTTCTCCCATCCTCTCCTCCCATCCTCTCCTCCCATCCCATTCTCTCCTCCCATCCTCTCCTGCCATCCTCCCCTCCCATTCTCTCCTCCCATCCTCTCCTCCTATTCTCTCCTATCCTCCCTTCCTCTCCTCCTATCCTATCCTCTCCTCTCCTCCAATCCTCTCCTCCCATCCTCTCCTCCCATCCACCCCTCCCATCCACCCCTCCCATCCTCTCCTCCCATCCGCTCCTCCCACCACCTCTTCCCACCCTCTCCTCCCATCCTCTCCTGCCATCCACTCCCCCCATCCTCTCCTCCCATCCTCCCCTCCCATCCTCTCCTCCTATCCTCTCCTCCCTTCCTCTCCTCCTATCCTCTCCTCCCATCCTCCCCTCCCATCCTCTCCCCCCATCCTCTCCTCCCATCCTCCCCTCCCATCCTCTCCTCCCATCCTCTCTTGCCATCAACTCCCCCCATCCTCTCCTCCCATCCTCCCCTCCCATCCTCCCCTCCCATCCTATCCTCCTCTCCTCCCATCCTCCCCTCCTCTCCTCTCCTCCCATCCTCCCCTCCCTTCCTCTCCTCCCTTCCTCTCCTCCTATCCTCTCCTCCCTTCCTCTACTCCCACCCTCTCCTCCCATCCTCCCATCCTATCCTCTCCTCCCATCCTCTCCTCTCCTCCCTTCCTCCTCCTATCCTCTCCTCCCTTCCTCTACTCCCACCCTCTCCTCCCATCCTCCCCTCCTATCCTCTCCTCCCATCCTCCCCTCCCATCCTCTCCTCCTTTCCTCTCCTCCCTTCCTCTCCTCCTATCCTCTCCTCCCTTCCTCTACTCCCACCCTCTCCTCCCATCCTATCCTCTCCTCCCATCCTCTCCTCTCCTCTCCTCCCTTCCTCTCCTCCTATCCTCTCCTCCCTTCCTCTACTCCCACCCTCTCCTCCCATCCTCCCCTCCTATCCTCTCCTCCCATCCTCCCCTCCCATCCTCTCCTCCTTTCCTCTCCTCCCTTCCTCTCCTCCTATCCTCTCCTCCCATCCTCCCCTCCTATCCTCTCCTCCCATCCTCCCCTCTCCTCCTCTCCTCTCCTCCCTTCCTCTCCTCCCATCCTCTCCTCCCATCCTCTCCTCCCATCCTCTCCTCCCATCCTCTCCTCCCTTCCTCTCCTCCCATCCTCTCCTCCCATCCTCTCCTCCCATCCTCTCCTCCCATCCTCTCCTCCCATCCTCTCCTCCCACCCTCTCCTCCCATCCTCTCCTCCCATCCTCTACTCCCATCCTCTACTCCCATCCTCTACTCCCATCCTCTCCTCCCATCCTCTCCTCCCATCCTCTCCTCCCATCCACTCCTCCCATCCTCATTCTCTCTCCCAGCAGCTCACACCCAGAGTCTCCTAGCTAGCCTTCTAGAACTATTTACTTCAGCTTGATTCTGATATTGCAAGAAAATGTCCAGAAAATGTCCAGAAAAATGTCGAGAAAAATGTCTAGAAAATAAGACAAGCGTAATGAAATGTTCCCTTCTGATTTATTGGCCGCTCGATCTGATTCTTTTTCATTGGCTGAGAGAGCCACATGACGGTAATAGACCTCCACCCATCCCAGCCCAGCCGCAGTAGCAGAAGATAACCGCTATCAACTGGGTAACTTCCGCTTGCTTGGGTCTGTTTTGCTGGCTCACTAGTAGCTTGGTCTAATTGCGGTACTCGTCACTCCAACAGCAGTGTCAATATCTCGTTCTTAGTAGCAAATACTGCGGCGATACCAGGTCTGGTGCAATCGATGCCACGGTTGGTGTAATCGATTTCTGATTTGAAACTGTACGATTTTCACTCATTAGCAGCATGCAAACTATAAGCACACCCACACACACACACATAGACACACACACAGAACAGCTACAAAATGATGCAGAATCATTGACACCCGTACAAAGACACACACACACACACATACCTTGACAGACGCCCAAAAACATACACATATTCACATACACACACATATACATACCCTCACAGACGCCCAAAAACATACACATATTCACCCCCCTCACACACACACACACAAATTCATACCCTCGCAGATGACTATACACATACAGACTGAAAACGAATTGTAATGGAGGGCCAACATAAACCATAGCTATCTGTCATTTAGACAAAATAACAGAGGTGGGGGGGGGGGGGGCGGCAAACACAGAGATGGGGTGGGGGACGGCAAAAACAGAGATGGGGGGGGGCTCCAAACACAGAGGTTGGGGGGGGGGGGCTGCAAACACAGAAGGTGGGGGGGGGGGGGCTGCAAACACAGAAACGGGAAGGGGGTTGATTTTCTATTTTTCCCGCGTCAACAGACGATACTTACTGGTGGCTTCTGTTGCTTATTCGACTTATACAGATGACCACTACAAGTGATTTCTCTACAGATGACCTCTACAGCTGACCTCTACAGCTGACCTCTACAGCTGACCTCTACAAATAACCTCTACAGTTGACCTCTACAGATGACCTCTATAGATGACCTCTACAGATGATTTCTACAGATTACCTCTACAGGTGATATCTACAGATGAACTACATATGACCTCTACTATCGACCTTAAAGATGTGAAGTTATGTCTTGTTAGTTATTGTTTCACCTCTTGTCTGATATTTATATTGGTGATGTCTTTTGATTGTGTTCTGTATAGCCGTGTATATCACGTGAGATGTCCAAGATGGAGGTCTGAGACAAGACACGTGACCATGTGTTTGTAGACTAGGTCACTAGAGTATTGATGTGAACTCGTTTCCTGTTGATTCAAGTCACCAACTGGCATAGAGATCAGCAGTGTTTTTCCAGACTTTTTTCTCTGGGGGGGGGGGGGGCACTTGAAATTTTCGTGGGGGGGGGGGGCGGTAGACTTTCTTCGGGGGGGGGGGGGGCGGACACTGTAAAAAGTATATATTTTCTATATAAATTATATAAATTTCATTTCGTTCGGCGGGAGGGGGGGTGGGCGCTAAAATTTTTTCGAAGAGATGCCTGGAAGAAACTCTGGAGATCAGGACTAACCAGATTGAAATATTTAATAATAACGTCAAGTAGAGTATAACTCTTGTCCAGGTCAAATATACGGCATAAAACTGACAAGCCAGCCTTCAATTGATATCCACAACTTGGCCCCTCCATTTTGTGTTATCTATGACCCTTTGACCCGTGGTTCCATAAATCTGATTGTGTTGACGTTTAGTTCTTTCAACAAGGACAATTTCGGGATGTCTAGATCAAAGTCATTTTTAATCGACGGGGTCGAATGTCATTTCTCATCCAATAAATCCATGTTGTGTATGTATGTGTATGTTGTGTCTGTATGTGTATGTTGTGGTCTGTATGTGTATGTTGTGTCTGTATGTGTATGTTGTGGTCTGTATGTGTATGTTGTGTCTGTATGTGTATGTTGTGTCTGTATGTGTATGTTGTGTCTGTATGTGAGTATGTTGTGTCTGTATGTGTATGTTGTGTCTGTATGTGTATGTGTGTCTGTATGTGTATGTTGTGCTGTATGTGTATGTTGTGTCTGTATGTGTATGTTGTGTCTGTATGTGTATGTTGTGTCTGTATGTGTATGTTGTGTCTGTATGTGTATGTTGTGTCTGTATGTGTATGTTGTGTCTGTATGGACATGTTGTGTCTGTATGTGTATGTTGTGTCTGTATGTGTATGTTGTGTCATGTATGTGTATGTTGTGTATGTATGTGTATGTTGTGTCTGTATGTGTATGTTGTGTCTGTATGTGTATGTTGTGTATGTATGTGTATGTTGTGTCTGTATGTGTATGTTGTGTCTGTATGGACATGTTGTGTCTGTATGTGTATGTTGTGTCTGTATGTGTATGTTGTGTCTGTATGTGTATGTTGTGTATGTATGTGTATGTTGTGTCTGTATGTGTATGTTGTGTCTGTATGTGTATGTTGTGTATGTATGTGTATGTTGTGTCTGTATGTGTATGTTGTGTCTGTATGTGTATGTTGTGTATGTATGTGTATGTTGTGTCTGTATGTGTATGTTGTGTCTGTATGGACATGTTGTGTCTGTATGTGTATGTTGTGTCTGTATGTGTATGTTGTGTCTGTATGTGTATGTTGTGTATGTATGTGTATGTTGTGTCTTTATGTTGTGTCTGTATGTGTATGTTGTGTCTGTATGGACATGTTGTGTCTGTATGTGTATGTTGTGTCTGTATGTGTATGTTGTGTCTGTATGCACTAACCCCGACATTTCACCAAGTGAAATCCCTGCTCGGTGTAGTCCCTCCCCCCTCAAACACACACACACCCAGACTGAGAATATCCACACTCAGATAGATTTGATTTTCTGGCCGACTGAAGAAAAAAATGCCATTGATGCGGCCTCCACATTCTCCCATCGATTTTCTGTAAGTTTTTTATTGACTCGCCGGCCTCACACAGCTGGGGAATTTGGGCAACTCAGGGTCACGTGACCTGTAGGGATTGGCTGCCTCGATAGAAACTACCATCACAAGTAGACAGATAGGGGCCGTCACATGCTGGACCAAGAGCGAACTCCCTGCATTCGAGTTAGCTCTAGCACCAGACTACACCATCTACACGACTCTGTGAGTAGCTCTAGCACCAGACTACACCATCTACACGACTGTGTGAGTAGCTCTAGCACCAGACTACACCATCTACACGACTGTGTGAGTAGCTCTAGCACCAGACTACACCATCTACACGACGGTGTGAGTAGCTCTAGCACCAGACTACACCATCTACACGACTGTGTGAGTAGCTCTAGCACCAGACTACACCATCTACACGACGGTGTGAGTAGCTCTAGCACCAGACTACACCATCTACAAGAATGTGTGAGTAGCTCTAGCACCAGACTACACCATCTACACGACGGTGTGAGTAGCTCTAGCACCAGACTACACCATCTACAAGAATGTGTGAGTAGCTCTAGCACCAGACTACACCATCTACACGACTGTAGCTCTAGCACCAGACTACACCATCTACAAGAATGTGTGAGTAGCTCTAGCACCAGACTACACCATCTACACGACTGTGTGAGTAGCTCTAGCACCAGACCACACCATCTACACGACGGTGTGAGTAGCTCTAGCACCCTGCCACACCATCTACACGACTCTGTGAGTAGCTCTAGCACCAGACTACACCATCTACACGACTGTAGCTCTAGCACCCTGCCACACCAACTACACGACTGTGTGAGTAGCTCTAGCACCCTGCCACACCATCTACACGACTGTGTGAGTAGCTCTAGCACCAGACCACACCATCTACACGACTGTGTGAGTAGCTCTAGCACCAGACCACACCATCTACACGACTGTGTGAGTAGCTCTAGCACCAGACCACACCATCTACACGACTCTGTGAGTAGCTCCCTAATTACATCTCGGTACAATAGGAGCAACGGTTCCTTATTGGGAAAGATCATGCATGCCATCAAGGTCAAGGATAGATTACGGAGCACGAATGGACAAAAATCACGGAGCACGAATGGACAAAGATCAAGGCTGAATCCTTTGCTGGACAACGCGTCTAGATTGTCTCTGCAACAAGTGTTCTAATCAATCAATTCACGAGTTTATGAGTCGCAGCCCTCTCCCCCGCCCCTCCCCCCACACACACCATACTTTATTGATTTCTCGAAAATAATTCTCTTAAACTCAGGGGGGAGAATGTATTTCATGCAACCAGTGGTTTTCTCCCGTGTCCAGATACCACGGGAGGGAACTGCATGTAAGCCAACAGGCTTTAAACTATCAGACCTCCTAGCCCCTGACTCGAACGTTTGAAGAAATCAATAGGTGTCTTATTAAATAAAGGGGCGGGAGGGGAAGTCGGATGGTCAAACTCATATCTTGGACAGACCAGACGACTAGTACAGGTGGACAGACCAGATGAGTGGACAGGTGGACAGACCAGACGACTAGTACAGGTGGACAGACCAGACGAGTGGACAGGTGGACAGACCAGACGAGTGGACAGGTGGACAGACCAGACGAGTGGACAGGTGGACAGACCAGACGAGTGGACAGGTGGACAGACCAGACGAGTGGACAGGTGGACAGACCAGACGAGTGGACAGGTGGACAGACCAGACGAGTGGACAGGTGGAGAGACCAGACGAGTAGACAGGTGGACAGACCAGACGAGTGGACAGGTGGACAGACCAGACGAGTGGACAGACCAGACGAGTGGACAGACCAGACGAGTGGACAGGTGGACAGACCAGACGAGTGGACAGGTGGACAGACCAGACGAGTGGACAGACCAGACGAGTGGACAGACCAGACGAGTGGACAGGTGGACAGACCAGACGAGTGGACAGGTGGACAGACCAGACGAGTGGACAGGTGGACAGACCAGACGAGTGGACAGGTGGACAGACCAGACGAGTGGACAGGTGGACAGACCAGACGAGTGGACAGGTGGACAGACCAGACGAGTGGACAGGTGGAGAGACCAGACGAGTGGACAGGTGGACAGACCAGACGAGTGGACAGGTGGACAGACCAGACGAGTGGACAGGTGGACAGACCAGACGAGTGGACAGGTGGACAGACCAGACGAGTGGACAGGTGGACAGACCAGACGAGTGGACAGGTGGACAGACCAGACGAGTGGACAGGTGGACAGACCAGACGACTAGTACAGGTGGACAGACCAGACGAGTGGACAGGTGGACAGAGCAGACGAGTGGACAGGTGGACAGACCAGACGAGTGGACAGGTGGACAGACCAGACGAGTGGACAGGTGGAGAGACCAGACGAGTGGACAGGTGGACAGACCAGACGAGTGGACAGGTGGACAGACCAGACGAGTGGACAGGTGGACAGACCAGACGAGTGGACAGGTGGACAGACCAGACGAGTGGACAGGTGGACAGACCAGACGAGTGGACAGGTGGACAGACCAGACGAGTGGACAGACCAGACGAGTGGACAGACCAGACGAGTGGACAGGTGGACAGACCAGACGAGTGGACAGGTGGACAGACCAGACAAGTGGACAGACGAGACGAGTGGACAGGTGGACAGACCAGACGAGTGGACAGGTGGACAGACCAGACGAGTGGACAGACCAGACGAGTGGACAGGTGGACAGACCAGACGACTAGTACAGGTGGACAGACGAGACGAGTGGACAGGTGGACAGACCAGACGAGTGGACAGGTGGACAGACCAGACGAGTGGACAGACCAGACGAGTGGACAGGTGGACAGACCAGACGACTAGTACAGGTGGACAGACCAGACGAGTGGACAGGTGGACAGACCAGACGAGTGGACAGGTGGACAGACCAGACGAGTGGACAGGTGGACAGACCAGACGAGTGGACAGGTGGACAGACCAGACGAGTGGGCAGGTGGACAGACCAGACGAGTGGACAGGTGGACAGACCAGACGAGTGGACAGGTGGAGAGACCAGACGAGTAGACAGGTGGACAGACCAGACGAGTGGACAGGTGGACAGACCAGACGAGTGGACAGACCAGACGAGTGGAGAGACCAGACGAGTGGACAGGTGGACAGACCAGACGAGTGGACAGGTGGACAGACCAGACGAGTGGACAGACCAGACGAGTGGACAGACCAGACGAGTGGACAGACCAGACGAGTGGACAGGTGGACAGACCAGACGAGTGGACAGGTGGACAGACCAGACAGGTGGACAGACCAGACGAGTGGACAGGTGGACAGACCAGACGAGTGGACAGGTGGACAGACCAGACGAGTGGACAGGTGGACAGACCAGACGACTAGTACAGGTGGACAGACCAGACGAGTGGACAGGTGGACAGAGCAGACGAGTGGACAGGTGGACAGACCAGACGAGTGGACAGGTGGACAGACCAGACGAGTGGACAGGTGGAGAGACCAGACGAGTGGACAGGTGGACAGACCAGACGAGTGGACAGGTGGACAGACCAGACGAGTGGACAGGTGGACAGACCAGACGAGTGGACAGGTGGACAGACCAGACGAGTGGACAGGTGGACAGACCAGACGAGTGGACAGGTGGACAGACCAGACGAGTGGACAGACCAGACGAGTGGACAGACCAGACGAGTGGACAGGTGGACAGACCAGACGAGTGGACAGGTGGACAGACCAGACGAGTGGACAGACGAGACGAGTGGACAGGTGGACAGACCAGACGAGTGGACAGGTGGACAGACCAGACGAGTGGACAGACCAGACGAGTGGACAGGTGGACAGACCAGACGACTAGTACAGGTGGACAGACCAGACGAGTGGACAGGTGGACAGACCAGACGAGTGGACAGGTGGACAGACCAGACGACTAGTACAGGTGGACAGACCAGACGAGTGGACAGGTGGACAGAGCAGACGAGTGGACAGGTGGACAGACCAGACGAGTGGACAGGTGGACAGACCAGACGAGTGGACAGGTGGAGAGACCAGACAAGTAGACAGGTGGACAGACCAGACGAGTGGACAGGTGGACAGACCAGACGAGAGGACAGACCAGGCGAGTGGACAGACCAGACGAGTGGACAGGTGGACAGACCAGACGAGTGGACAGGTGGACAGACCAGACGAGTGGACAGACCAGACGAGTGGACAGACCAGACGAGTGGACAGACCAGACGAGTGGACAGGTGGACAGACCAGACGAGTGGACAGGTGGACAGACCAGACGAGTGGACAGGTGGACAGACCAGACGAGTGGACAGACCAGACGAGTGGACAGGTGGACAGACCAGACGAGTGGACAGGTGGACGGACCAGACGAGTGGACAGACCAGACGAGTGGACAGACCAGACGAGTGGACAGACCAGACGAGTGGACAGGTGGACAGACCAGACGAGTGGACAGGTGGACAGACCAGACGAGTGGACAGGTGGACAGACCAGACGAGTGGACAGGTGGACAGACCAGACGAGTGGACAGGTGGAGAGACCAGACGAGTGGACAGGTGGAGAGACCAGACGAGTGGACAGGTGGACAGACCAGACGAGTGGACAGGTGGACAGACCAGACGAGTAGACAGGTGGACAGACCAGTCGAGTGGACAGGTGGACAGACCAGACGAGTGGACAGGTGGACAGACCAGACGAGTGGACAGGTGGACAGACCAGACGAGTGGACAGGTGGACAGACCAGACGAGTGGACAGGTGGACAGACCAGACGAGTGGACAGACCAGACGAGTGGACAGACAAGACGAGTGGACATGTGGACAGAACAGACGAGTGGACAGGCCAGACGAGTGGTACAAGGGTTGGGTTTTTTCCGCTCAATGAAACAATGAATGCTGTTGTGAAAGTTTTTATATATTCGGTTCACAGAAACACATTGGCCACAGAATAAATTTACTTAAAGTTGTGTAAACTTTGACATTAGAATAAATTATATCTATAAGGAGAATGAACTCACCAAGCATTGCCCTCGGCAAGTCCATCCTTATGGGCTTAAGATTTTTATTTCATCCAAATGTTCTTGTATTTCCCGCCAATCAGTTAGAGAATCGATGTTAACTGAAAAAAACGATACCACTTTCGCGGTATCGAAATCTAGCTGTAGAACCAACGCTCCGAGTTCAATCAATACAACACAAATCTAAAAATAGATTACCAAACTCGCTACATTGTGCCTGCCTCCTACAACCTCTGAACTCTGAACTCTGACATCAGACAAGCTGCCTAGGAAATCAATATTGTCTGTAGACCGTGGTCAGCTCAAAGCCATCATCAGAACTTCGAGAAAACACCTCTCATATTATTGTATCGATATGTTATGACGTCATGCCATCCGTGAAAAAAAAACGCACCTGAAAATCTGTGGAAATTTTAATTTCTTTGATCACGTTGGCTTATATAGTCACGTGATCTCCTTTTCTAATTGGCGAATCACTTCCGGCGAATGACGTAGTTTCCATGAACAAGTGGTCGGACCACTAAAGGGGGACAATCCAATATTCCACAGAACACAATGGCCGGGCGAGTCATCTCCCTTTTAGGCCCGTCTGCCGAGTGGGCAAGTCTCCACATCGCTAGTGCAGCCAACAAACGTTCAGCGAACCTCACTATGGCACGCTGCTAGGTGTTTACACTTTCTTCACCTCACTTTCATCTCACAGTTGTTGCCCTGCTCACTTCTATTTTTAGGTGAACCCCCACACCCCCCCCCCCTCTCCCCCATCAATTCCAGTGAAAATCAAACAAATCTATAACCTTAGCGCTAGACAGGGTTACTTAAGTACGGCTGACACAAAACTAATGACTGTGTACTACGTCATCGGATACGTGACCAAGTGCTCTACATCCACACAGCCATCGCCAAGAGTCTAGGGGAACATTCGTGTCTCTGTGAGGGAACATTCGTGTCTCTGTGAGGGAACATTCGTGTCTCTGTGAGGGAACATTCGTGTCTCTGTGAGGGAACATTCGTGTCTCTGTGAGGGAACATTCGTGTCTCTGTGAGGGAACATTCGTGTCTCTGTGAGGGAACATTCGTGTCTCTGTGAGGGAACATTCGTGTCTCTGTGAGGGAACATTCATGTTTCTGTGAGGGAACATTTTGATGGTGGAATGAATGTGCGTGCGGATGTGTGTGCGTGTGTACCAAAAAGGGGGGGGGGGTGTAAGGATATGTGGTGTAAGGCGTGGTAGTGTAAGGGGGGATAAGGGGGTTAAGGGGGGAGGAGGCCGGAAGGTGGGTGTAAGGGGGGAGGAGGCCGTAAGGTGGGTGTAAGGGGGGAGGAGGCCGTAAGGTGGGTGTAAGGGGGGAGGAGGCCGTAAGGTGGGTGTAAGGGGGGAGGAGGCCGTAAGGTGGGTGTAAGGGGTGATGATGTAAGGGGTGATGATAAGGGGGGATAAGGGGGTTAAGGGGGGAGGAGGCCGTAAGGTGGGTGTAAGGGGGGAGGAGGCCGGAAGGTGGGTGTAAGGGGGGAGGAGGCCGTAAGGTGGGTGTAAGGGGGGAGGAGGCCGTAAGGTGGGTGTAAGGGGTGATGATGTAAGGGGTGATGATGTAAGGGGTGATGATGTAAGGGGTGATGATGTAAGGGGTGATGATGTAAGGGGTGATGATGTAAGGGGTGATGATGTAAGGGGTGATGATGTAAGGGTCATGATGTAAGGGTGATGATGTAAGGGGTGATGATGTAAGGGTGTGTGGAGAAAGGGGTGATGATGTAAGGGGTGATGATGTAAGGGGTGATGATGTAAGGGGTGATGATGTAAGGGGTGATGATGTAAGGGTGTGTGGTGTAAGGGGTGATGATGTAAGGGTGTGTGGTGTAAGGCGCGGTAGTGTAAGGGGTGAGGAGGCCGTAAGGGGGGAATAAGGGGTGATGATGTAAGGGGTGATGATGTAAGGGGTGATGATGTAAGGGGTGATGATGTAAGGGGTGATGATGTAAGGGGTGATGATGTAAGGGGTGATGATGTAAGGGGTGATGATGTAAGGGTGTGTGGTGTAAGGCGCGGTAGTGTAAGGGGTGAGGAGGCCGTAAGGGGGGAATAAGGGGTGATGATGTAAGGGGTGATGATGTAAGGGGTGATGATGTAAGGGGTGATGATGTAAGGGGTGATGATGTAAGGGGTGATGATGTAAGGGGTGATGATGTAAGGGTGATGATGTAAGGGGTGATGATGTAAGGGGTGATGATGTAAGGGGTGATGATGTAAGGGTGTGTGATGTAAAGGGTGATGATGTAAGGGGTGATGATGTAAGGGTGTGTGGTGTAAGGGGTGATGATGTAAGGGTGTGTGGTGTAAGGGGTGATGATGTAAGGGTGTGTGGTGTAAGGGGTGATGATGTAAGGGTGTGTGGTGTAAGGGGTGATGATGTAAGGGGTGATGATGTAAGGGGTGATGATGTAAGGGGTGATGATGTAAGGGTGTGTGGTGTAAGGGGTGATGATGTAAGGGGTGATGATGTAAGGGTGTAAGGGGTGATGATGTAAGGGGTGATGATGTAAGGGGTGATGATGTAAGGGGTGATGATGTAAGGGGTGATGATGTAAGGGGTGATGATGTAAGGGGTGATGATGTAAGGGGTGATGATGTAAGGGGTGATGATGTAAGGGTGTAAGGGGTGATGATGTAAGGGGTGATGATGTAAGGGTGTAAGGGGTGATGATGTAAGGGGTGATGATGTAAGGGGTGATGATGTAAGGGTGTAAGGGTGATGATGTAAGGGTGTGTGGAGAAAGGGGTGAGGAGGAACCATGTTAATGACGTACCTTGTCACGTGGTTACTGTCTAGTCCAGGTGTGTTTGTCCATGTTCCACCCAGCTGAATGTGTCAGTGATCTGCCTCAGGTGTCAGACACCTGTGGCAGGTGGCAGAAACCTGTGCAGGTGTCGCACTAGATCCTTTCAAAATCCTGATTGTTTTGATTCGTCATGCTACAGCAGTAGAAGAAAACTTTAGCTTGTAGGATGGTAGGGTAGAAAACACAACATCCACAACATCGATTATACACTACACAACATCTACAACACAGATCTGAGAAATCTTGAGACTTGTTTATTCAGTCTTGTATCCTTTCGATACCCCCCCCCACTTCAACACCCCACCAAGCCCACACCCACCCCCGTTCAGCAGAACGTATCCTGTATAGGGCAGGATGTGATATCGGTATTCCCCGCTTGACGTTGGCAGTCAACAATGGGGCTTATCGTGTGCTAGATGGTTGGTAAACAGATGTACCCAGGGGCGGAACTACAGTGCCGCCAGACCCCGCAATGCGGGGGGGCCCAGACCGATTGGGGGCCCAAAAATCCTGGCTAAATTATTAAAAAAAAAAAAAAAAAATTAGGTGGAGGTCGAGTTATCTTTCTTCTACAGTTACAAACAAACACGATAGTCGGCAAACGTCTTTGATAAAAATGCACAGACTATATAGCTCGAGAGACCGCCAGACATAAAGTCAACTTCAAAGACGCAGCCTACCGTTCTTTTTAGTGGCGTCGATTAGGAGAACAAAAAAGCATTGTTATATTGTTTACATTATTAAAATACATATCTATGATTGTGTGTTTAAACTACTGGCCTGAATTCTACAAAAAATATAATTATTTATTTCGATCTCGTACATTTATAATTGCGTTCATTTTTACTTCAACAACTGTATCAATAAACTTGTAAAAGTTTAAGTTATCTCCCTTCAGCGAAGCATCTGAAATTTGACTGTGCCGGTACACTTTGAAATCGGGCTGGGGAAATGTTGCGGCGACTATCCTGGTCTTCTAGACGACCGGAAAAAGTCGGCACTATTGATGTAGATGTTCATCGGCGCTTTCTTGTCCCCTTCCAATGAACCTTCCCAACTCTCTCCCCTGCCCCCTCTCACCCCTACCTCTCACCTCTACCCCTCACCACACCCTTAATCTTACAATAAGATGTAATGCATAGATTAACGAACCGTCTATGAACTACTGAACTGTAAACTGACCACTCCTGCACATTTTGTTAAAGACACTAGTCAGTAGTTGTTCATTTACCTGATGAACATGGGCGGAACTACAGTCCCTCCAGTCCCCGCAATGCGCGCGGGGGGGGGGGGGGGGCAGGCCGTTTAGGGGCCCACCCACGGCTGACCAACATTAATATTTTTTTAAATTTTGAATTTAATTTTCGTGCATTTTTGCCTTAATATTTGGTTTGTAAAAGAAAAACACTAGCTGCGGTACGATTATCTTTATTTTACAGTCACTATACCACGCTCTTCCGCAACAGATAAAATCCATTACACAAACTACAGTGTAAAATATAGGCAACTCTTCAAATTTGAATGACTTCTTTGACTCGTTGCCCCCCACCTCTTTAATAGCTAAATAGAGGACACGTAACTGTTTAACCGATACATATATGGGGGGCCCAAAAATTTTTTTTGCGGGGTGGCCCATTTTTTCTAGTTCCGCCACTGGATGTACCAGGGTATATATGTACATGGTTATAGATTTACCGGGGTATATATGTACATGGTTATAGATGTACCGCGGTATATATGTACATGGTTATAGATGTACCGCGGTATATATGTACATGGTTATAGATGTACCGCGGTATATATGTACATGGTTATAACTTACTGGGATTTAGCTGTACCAGGGTGTAGCTGTACCAGGGTGTAGCTGTACCATGATATAGCTGTACCAGGGTATAGCTGTACCAGGGTATAGCTGTACCAGGGTATAGCTGTACCAGGGTATAGCTGTACCAGGGTATAGCTGTACCAGGATATAGCTGTACCAGGGTATAGCTGTACCAGGGTATAGCTCTACCAGGATATAGCTGTACCAGGATATAGCTGTACCTGGTTATAAATTACCGGGACAAACGTTTACCCATCTATAGCTGTATAGGTATATAGCTGTACCCACTGGACTTGCATCCAACCTGCCTACTACCTACCTTCCTGTCTACCTGTCTACCTGCCTGTGCATCTACTCCCTTGCTAGAACCCCCAATATTTTCGAAACGCCCCAGGTAGGCTCCAGCTGATCGAGGAAAATCTCACCTGTACAGCTCTTCCAGTCAACAGGTAGGTTATTTACCTGGATAGAATGAGGTCACAAGCACCCGCCGAGGGCTGCGGTTAGGTAGGTGTGTCAATGTTTGTCTTCTGCAGCATGAACTTTGTTCACTAAACATCGGCCCATCGGGCGTAAAGCAGAGATTCATGGCGAAGTTTTCTGGAACATAATATCTAGCTTTAGCTTGTTTCAATTGTACCCGCATATAGGACCTATTACATAGAACGTGTTACAAAAAAAAACGAATACATCAATATTTATAAGAAGAATTGTTTTATTCAAGTTGACAAAAATATTTCAGGGTTTCTACAATTTTGACTAAAGTTTTAAATAGTTTTTTTTAAAAAAAACCTTATATTGACATTTTTAAAAATATTATAAAACAAATTTGCTTTCTTAACCCTTTATCTACTGACGGTACTTATAAGTACCACTTTAATTAAATGCCTGTATTATTTTTCATTTAATACGAATTTTTAAAATTATTTAAGTAATTAATAGTATTATCTCCTCTGAGTCGCAGGTAGTCGGAGGGATCAATGTTTTTTGAAAATTACTGGTGTGACACCATTTTCAATGTCTAGCTGTATCGGTAGTTCACAATTTTTCTGTACAGTTATCACACACGTTCTTGATTTCCCTTTGTTTTACCTTATTTTTCAAGTTTTCAACCCCAAATATTTTTTATTGGCATCTCCAATAGTCAGGCAAACGCATTTAACTTCTAGTTATACACTTTTAATCAAATTGTCTTTGTATTAGACCGATGTTTACAAGTGGACTTATAAGTACCGTCAGGGCACACGGTCATTTTTTTAGGATTTTTAGAAAATGGCAGATTTTTTATGTGGCGTTACATAAATATTGTCTTGATGATTAATTATCGAAATGTACTCAAAAAATGATATTTACACATTTATAAGAAGGTTAGCATATGGTTTTCCTAAGAGATATTGTAATTACATGTTAATTTCTAGTAGTAAAAAATAACAAAAATAAAGGTATCAGTTGAAGGCTCGTTTACAAGGTTTAGTATACTTCATTTGTATACCAAAGCCTAGTTCTAGTTGTAAGATTTAATTTGTTAGTTATATTTACTTCAATAAACTATCTTGCCTACAACAACTAGCATTTACGTAATGTATATGTGTAGACTAGTAATAGTCCATACTTCTGCATATAGTATAGACCTATAAGATAAATTTTAATCAGTAACCAAACAAGAGTAGGCCACTACGGCTATCCTAAACATATTGAGCTCACTTCTATTTATGAACTTTGCACTGTAGTGTAGACTTGTCATAACATTCTAGTAGGCTACAATTATACTAGCATTACTAGTAGTTTTGTGCTGAATGACTAGGCTTTTGTTTATGTGGCTCATAGTACTAGCTTTTGGAAGCTTCTAGCAAAAGCATGTTAATTCCCGCAACCGTTGCTGCACCAGAAAACAGCAGACAAGATTGAGGGAGCTTGAAATGTCAACTACTTTTACTGTGTTTGAGGTCTAAGATGTGTTCCGATAGAAAATCGAGTAAAAATCGTACTCAAAATATACTTTTGTGCTGTATTTATGTGTGAAAATTACAAAAAGTGATTGTTATAATGATTACCATGTTATTAGTTAGTAAATTGTATCGTTTGTTCCTGTTTTGTAAAAAAAAAATTTTTGAAAAAAAATGTCCTACATTCCTGACGGTACTTATAAGTACCAATATAGGTTTGGGCCATTAAAAATTGATGAAACAAAATTTCCTTCGAGATATGCTTTGAATGTGCCAAAAGCAATATAGTAACACATTGTTTAAGTAAAAATTTCATTCAGAACATAATTCCGTAAATAAAGGGTTAAATAAAAGCACAGACAAAAAAAAAACGGTAGTGATCTCCCCTAAACTTTCTCGAATATTCTTATATGAAACAACAGGGGATGGCAACTCGGGATATAGACATGATTTTGAATCCATTTTTAATACTTAAACTTTTTAAAATAGAATAAAATCTAGTAGAAAAAAAATAAATGTAAACCAAGTGAACGCCAAATAAAATGTGCATAATAGTGCGGAATATTATTAGTACTTTATAAATTCAAATGGTTTTTTTTTTTGAGAAATCGGAAATAGCGAAAATCACTACTTTCAGTCAACGGAAATTACTCAAAATTTGATAGAAGGCAGAGAATTAGATTTTTACTTACATGTGAAATTTCATTTTTCTATCTGAATGAAATGGTACTCAAGTTATAGGCTTTTGAAAAATTCAAAGTAGAAAAAGTTTCACTTCCGTTTATCGGAAATCGCTCAAAAGTTTATACGGATCTACGATTTTGATAATATACTTATATAAAATTTCATCAACCTAACTGTAACGGTACTCAAGTTATCGTGTTTACACACACACACCAGTGTTTCTTCCAGACTTTTTTCTCCGGGGGGGGGGGGGGGCACTTGAAATCTTCGGGGGGGGGGGGGGGCGGTAAACTTTCTTCGGGGGGGGGGGGCGGACACTGTTAAAAGTATATATTTTCTATATAAATTATATAAATTTCATTTCGTTCGGGGGGGCGGTAAAAAATTTTCGGGGGGGGCTTCGTCCCCCCGAAGAGATGCCTGGAAGAAACTCTGACACACACACAGACACACGGACAGAATTGGATAATCCAGTTTTTCCAACTCCATTACGCATAAAACGCCAAAATTTTGATAAATCTGGATTTATAATTTTTACCCGATCGAAATAAGTCCACTTTATCCCGGATGTGTTGAAGGACTGAGGAGTAAAATGGTTAAAAATTGTCCAAATTTCATGTGATTTGTGTGCATGATTACAAGACTTTCTCTATACTCTGTATACGAGAAAGTAAAAACGCTGTAAACAAAAAAAAGGTTATAAAAGATATGTATAAAATTGAACAAGTGAAAACGGATATAAAAAACCGGGAGTGATCTACCCTAAACTTTCTCGAATAATCTAATATAACACTACGTGGGATGGCAACTCGGAATATGGACATGATTTTTGTTTACTTAAACTTTTAAAAATAGAATAAAATCTAGTAGAAAAAAGAATTGCGCACCAAGCGAACGCCAAAACAAAATGTGCATAATAGTACGCAATATTATTAGTACTTTATAAATTTGAAATAGCGTAAATTAGAACTTTCGGTCAACAGAAATTACTCAAAATTTGACAGAAGGTAGAGAATTAAATCTTTTACTTACATGTGAAATTTTGTTTATCTATCTGAAATAGTACTCAAGTTATAGGCGTTTGAAAAATTCAAAGTAAAAAAAGTACAACTTCCAGTTATCGGAAATTGCTCAAAATTTGAAACGGATCTACGATTTTGATAAAATACTACTACTCTTGACTTAGACCTAGATCTATGCGCGTAACTCAAGTTGCATAAGGAGACCAGTGGCGGATTAAGGGGGGTGCTGAAAAACGTGGGGCGCCGAAGTAAAAGTTATATTACTATTGATTAGATAATACTATTGACTTTTATTAGGGAGCTTGTAGAGAGTCAACAGTATTAGAAACTGTAAGAAAATCACGGCGCCCCACGTTTTTCATCGCTTATAGTAGAGTGATCGCTTGCATTATTGTGATGTATAGCATTTATTTTCTACTTTTTAAGTTCAATCAGAAAACGTGGTTTTTTAAAAACTTTTTTAATGATTATTATTTTCTACTTTTTAGTCTTTGTCTGTTTGCATTGAAATCTTGCTATCGATTTTATCTTTTCACTTTTTTTTGGGTAAACGAAGACAACTCGTAAAAAGACAACTCGTAAAAAACACGTTGTGTGAATACGTTACTGACTAGAACACATAGATTTGAACCCGTGTCGAGTGGGTTAGCAATCGTGTGCCCAACCACTCGACCATATCGTCTCCCCCATACTGGCCACCAGTTGTTACGTTCTGGTTGTTTGTAGACAAACACCGTGTGACAACTACTCAGTAAGCAAAAAGAGGGAGAGTACCGAACCTTGTTTTCATCAAATTACAGTTACTGGGTTATGTCCCTTTTTCCCCACGTTTTTTGTACAATTATATAGGGGTATACAGTGATCAATAAAATGTTTCCATGGATCAATTTAGTAATAACAACAGTGGAATATTCTATTGTCATCCAAAACAAAGCTTCCCTGAAAATTTCAGCGCGCTAGCTAACTGGGAAGTGCCCTAAATTTCGATCGCAAGATTTGATTGGAAAAACAAACAAACAGAGGCGAAAGCAAGTCAAAGAAAACGTGGGAAAATGAGTACATATTGGTTAGATGTTAGAGGATCGGCGTGGTCGAGTCGGTAAAGCTCTTAACCGAAATGTCTCTAGTTCAAGCCCTCGGGCTTGATGAGGCTGGTTAGCTGGGGATAGCCACTCTTCTAGGAGAGACAACTCCAAAATCTGCTGTAGTTTGTTCTTGGTTGGACAAAGGCTATGGAAACAAATTAAAAAAGAAAAGCAGGCTGAAATCGGAATCAATGGTCTCAATGGCGCATAACCAGTTGACGCGTATACTTAATTGTGTTGGAGGGGATCCCTTCCAACACTAAAATTAAGAACGAAGAAGAAGAGAAAAAAAAAGAAGGTTAGATGTATCCAATTTACCGCTCATTGAACACAATTGACAGCTTTTTTAAATTAGCAGTTTTGTAAATATCGGTGTCGAATGTCCCTATAAGCTATATATAATCCATTAATATCTTGAATAGTATGCTGATTAGGATATATATATATATATATATATATATATATATATATATATATATATATATATATATATATATATATATATATATATATATATATATATATATATCAGGGGCCCCCAAAAAGTTTCAGCCCGGGGCCCCGCCCAAGCTTAATCCGTCCCTGAAGGAGACTCAAAGTGTTAAATTATAGTATAAAAAATCATCTGTGACGTCACGAGTAAATAGTTAAGTTGCTAGTGTAATCGGCTCTCATGCGGGTGGCACAGGTTCAAGACCAATACATCAATGATAATTTTTTTTTCCCAATTTTTATTTTATTTTTTTAGATGTGAATGATAAAGTTACCTATCTGAACTTGGCTGGATACAGGGCAGGTGAAGTAGAGTTCATCTGTTTCTTTGTCCTAAGCATATGAAGGGATAGTGTGGTCAGAGACATGCTCGGCTGGAATAGTTTTTGAACCGATAAAAACATGTTGTCTGAGACTTGGCGGGACACTGGGCAGGTGAAGTAGAGTTGAGTAGGTCACATGTGACGTCAGTATATGAAGGGATAGTCCGAAATCGGTGTTTTCAGTGTTTTTAAAAGATAAAAAACATATTTTTGAATGTGGGGTCTGTTTTTTTGTGACGATAAGTGACACTGCAGTAGCGTAGCGAGGGGGGGGGGGGGACATATGTCCGGGCGCCGACCTTAGTGGGCGCCAAAATGGGTTGGAAAAATAAATTGAAAGGTTGAGGGGGGTGCAAATCGAAAGTTTGAGGGGGGGGGTGCAAATTCAAATCTTGAGGGGGGTGGGTGCACATCAAGTTTGAGGGGGGTGGGGGTTGCAAATCGAAATCTTCCGGGGGGGGGGGGGTTCAAATCGAAAAGTTTGTCCCCGGGAAGGGTCGCTTCGCCTCTGAGTGACAGACGTGATGTTTTTTGATGGATGACCCCCCAAACCCACAGTTATCCAACGGATGACGAGGTAGTCTAGTATATTACTAAAAACGAAAAGTTTGGATATTTGCTTTTGGTGTCTTTTTTGTCGGTTCCATTACATGAGAGCATCTACATTATGTGTAGAACTGTAAAATACTGTAAAATACGTTTTTTTAAGAGAGTAATGGCTTTTTAAAACTGTTAAAACAAATTTATTTAATATAAAAAAAGTTAATTAATTAGTGTATTCATGTATAGAAACACCATTTACTTAGAAAAGTTCAGAAAATTTATTTATTTTTTTAGGAAAAATTTAAAACATTTTCACTGGCTTAAGGACGTCACTTGATTGATTTACTTATTTTCACAACAAACATGGCGGCGTCCATGGAAGACCATGTTGCTCATTCAAAAAGTTAACACATTATAAAGCTAAATGCACAGTGCAAAATCACAACACACGTGATTAGTTCTAATTCATTAATATTAGTATGACGTCAGCTTTAATAATTGATTCATTATTATTCAAATGAGTTTCCTGCTCAGAAAAAGTTATAGAAATAGATCGATTTTTTAAAAGACAAAAAACATGGAAGCTAGGGTGTGACTTCTTTTTGGATGTGAATGATAAAGTTGCCTGTAACCTCAGCATATATGAGGAAAATTAAAAGAAATAAATATGTCTGATACTTGGTGTGACACTGGGCAGGTGAAGTAGAGTTCCCCTATTTCTGTTACCTCAGCATATGAAGGAATATTGTGGTCAGACCCATGCTCAGCCAAATACGCTGTTTTAAAACACAAATGTTGTTCGGGGTGTGACGTCTGACATTTCGCGACGGTGTGTGACGGTGTGTGACGGTATGTGACGGTGTGTGACAGTGTGTGACGGTGCGTGACGGTGTGTGACGGTGTGTGACGGTGTGTGACGGTATGTGACGGTGTGTGACGGTATGTGACGGTGTGTGACGGTGTGTGACGGTGTGTGACGTTGTGTGACGTTGTGTGACGGTATGTGACGGTGTGTGACAGTGTGTGACGGTGCGTGACGGTGTTTGACGGTGTGTGACGGTGTGTGACGGTGTGTGACGGTGTGTGACGGTGTGTGACGGTGTGTGACGGTGTGTGACGGTGTGTGACGTTGTGTGACGGTGTGTGACGTTGTGTGACGGTATGTGACGGTGTGTGACAGTGTGTGACGGTGCGTGACGGTGTTTGACGGTGTGTGACGGTGTGTGACGGTGTGTGACGGTGTGTGACGGTGTGTGACGGTGTGTGACGCATGAAGGGGAAGTGAAAGAAAAATCGTCAAATAAATGTGAAGTCCTTTATCGATGACCCCTGAAACACACTGTTATCCAAGGATAGCGGGTAGTCTAGTAAATAATAAAAGGTTTACGTCACAAACAACGATACACAATACAAAATACACGGTTATCCAAGGATAGCGGGTAGTCTAGTAAATAATAAAAGGTTTACGTCACAAACAACGATACACAATACAAAATACACTCTACGTCCTCCCACAAACCCACACACCAACCAACGGCCACATACCCTAGCACACGGTCTGTCACCCGTCAACTGACAATCCTACAACTGTATACAAAAACAGGGTAGCCTACCTGTCATTCGAGCACACAACACACACACACAATCAGGGGACGCTACACGTGAGTGACGTCACAGTGTATTGTGCAGTGGGGTAATGTGTAGTGTAAGGAAGTCACACAATTCGTGAAGTTGCCAGATTTATCAGACCAGTTGTGATTTTTATTTTTATTAAATAGGAAAATATTTTTTTTTAAAATAGAAAACTTAGTTCAACTACTGTTATTTAAAATTGTAAATATTGATAACGTATAAACTGGGTTAGGGTTAGGGTTAGGATAAGGTATAGACTGACATAGCCCAAGTTAGTTTGTGATTTTTGTTTTAAAAAAACGTTCTGTTAGGTTTTATTTATTCGCTTTTTGAGAAGTTGTCCCAAACGTAGTTACAATTTAATATAATATTAATTTCTTCCGCCTATGGGCACTTATTTTGATTCTATTATTAGTACAAATGTTATAATTGTTGCATTTTTAGTACTATTGGTTTTTCAAAATCTTGAAGCGATGCCTACAAGCAAATAGCCGCAATGTTCCCAACAATACATTTGCTTTGAAAATTCTCTCCGTGGCTAAGAAGATTTTGAATTTGAAGCGAGAAAGACCGAGTTAGTTGCCCTATTAAGACTAGGTTAATGATTTGGGAGTTATTGACACTTGCTTATACAAATACTTACAAGTGTATATAGGCCTATATATATATATATATATAATATTTGTTTTCTTTCGGGGATGGAGAGGGGAACCATTAAGTATCGGGTTACGCCCGACCTAGCTACGCCACTGAGTTTACGACATGTTTGGAAATGTTTGTTATGACGTTGAATAAAAGCTATTATAAGCCTATATCCTTACACGATACTATTCAGATTCTTTGAATTGCATCGCTTGGTGTTTTGCCGTGAGAGGAAAAGTAAATAACAGTTTTATGTTTAACTAGCCCTTGGTACTCGTTACACGTAAATTATAGGCCCATAGACTTTAACGCCATTCTTGTTTGAGAAAAATAGTTTTTAAAATAGTTATTGATCAAATCGCAATGTGCTTTATTACACATTGGACGACATTAGTGACAAATGAAAGAAATAACTAAATAGCTAAAAAACTGACACATTTAAAATAACATAGGTTACCAATACCTATTAGAAAAATTAAAACCAAATTATATACATTATTAGTAAACACAACATCATATTAAATCCGCACACTTATTAAGAGGCTTAAATGATTTCGTTAAAAACTCGGCTATTCAATGGTCTTTCTGTTGTTTTTAAAGTAATGTGTGTTAGTTTGACCGAAACTTGGTAAGTAGTTCTAAATCAAATTCGAATGAAATAGTTCATTTCTTCATATCCCACCGTTCCCCACCGTGCACTTCCATGCACCACCCCTTCAGCAAAATTTTTTGCAGCGACCTTAATCTCGCGACTAGGGGAGGTAGCCCATGTAATTCTGTAGTTATATCACCTACAATGGTTAAGTCCCTTATAGAGAACATCACTTCGACCAGAAGGTTGTGCTTAAATTGGTTGTCGAGTGACGTCAGAAAGTCATTGTGTTGTCTAGTGACGTCACTTTGGCTGACCAAATGGTCGGAAGTCAAATATTCACGCGCCTGTGTGTTCTGGTAAACCTGTTTTCGAAAGCTTATCCAAAGTTAACCCAAACCTAACACAAACCTAACACAAACCTAACCCTAAGTTAACACTAACCTAACTCAAACATAACCCAAAGTTAACCCAAACATAACACAAGCCTAACCCCAACCTAACCCAAACCTAACCCAAAGCTAACCCAAACCTATCGCAAAGTTAACCAAAACATAATCAAAGCTAAACCAAACTTATCCCAAAGTTAACCCTAACCTAACCAAAATTAACACAAACCTAACCCAAACCTAACCCAAAGCTAAGTTAACCCAAACCTAACCCAAAGTTAACCCAAACCTAGCCAAAAGTTAACCCAAAGTTAATCCTAACCTAACCTATACCTAACCCAAAGTTGACCCCACCTTACCCAAACTTAACCAATAGTTAACCCAAACCTAAACCAAAATTAACCCAAACTTAATCCACAGTTAACCCAAACATAACTCAAACCTAAACCTACAATAACCCTAACATAACCCATTCTAATCCTAATCCTAACCCAAACCTAACCCAAAGCTAACCCAAACATGACCTCAACCTAACCTAAACTTAACCAAAACTAAACCATAACTTAACCCCAACCTAACACAAAGTTAACACAAACTTAACACAAAGTTAATCAAAATCTAAACTACAGTTAACCCAAAGTTAACCCATTCCTAACCCAACACAAACCCAAACCTAACCCACAGTTTACCCAAACCTAACCCAAAGTTAACCCAAACCTAACCTAAACCTAACACAAACCTAACCTATCCCAAAACCAACCAATACCTAACACAAACCTAACCCAAAGTTAACCCAGACCTAACTTACACCTAACCCAAACCTAACCCAAACCTAACCCAAACCTAAACCAAACCTAACCCAAACCTAACACAAACCTAACCCAAAGTTAACCCAGACCTAACCCAAACCTAACCCAAACCTAACCCAAACCTAACCCAAACCTAACCCAAACCTAACCCAAACCTAACCCAAACCTAACCCAAACCTAACCCAAACCTAACCCAAACCTAACTCAAACCTAGCCCAAACCTAACCCAAAGTTGACCACACCTAACCCAAGCCTAATCCAAAGTTAACCCAAACCTAACCTAAAGTTAACCCTAAGTTAAGCCAAACCTAACCCAAACCTAACCCAAACTTAACCCAAACCTAACTCAAACCTAACAAAATCCTAACCCCAACCTAACCCAAATTTAACCCAAACCTAACCCAAGTTAACCCAAACCTATCCCAAACCTAACTCAAACCTAACCCAAACATTACCCAGACCTAACCCACAGTTAACCTAAACCAAACCAAAAGTTAACCTAAACCTAGTCCAAACCTAACACATAGTTGACCCCACCTAACCCAAGCCTAACTAAAAAATAACCCAAACCTAATCCAGAGTTTACCCAAACCTAACCCGAAGTTAACCCAAAGTTAAGCCAAACCTAACCCAAAACTAACCTAAACCTAACCCAAACCTAACCTAAACCTAACCCAAACCTAACTCAAACCTAACCCAATCCTAACCCCAACCTAACCCAAATTTAACCCAAACCTAACCCAAATTTAACCCAAACCTATCCCAAAGTTACCGCAAACCTAACACATATCTAACCCCAACCTACCTTAAACCTAACAAAGTTAACCCAAACCTAACCCAATGTTAACAGAAACTTAACCCACTGTGAACCCAAACATAACTCAAACCTAAACCTACAATATACAACCGATACAACCATTGCCATGATACACCATTATGTCATTATACAATCATTATGACGTTGTACAACCATTGTGCCATGATGCACCATTATGACGTGTAAATCGTGTGCTTTTATTTCCGGTCGATCAATATCTGTGTAGATCAATATCTGTGTAGATCGATTCCTATGTTTAAATGATTACGTTCTCTTTGTTCAAAATAGCTGCTGTTAGTTCTGACTTTGACTCAAAGTGGGCCGTTATTTAAAAGTATCTGGTTTGTATGTAAGTGTATAGATCGTATGTAAGTGTGTAATTTATATATAAGTGTGTAGTTCATATGTGTGTAGTTCATATGCGTATAAACTAAAGAAGTAACTACTTTACTTAATATTTTAGTGATATTTTGAATAGATTTGTAAACTTGTAACTTAGTCGATGATTCCCGTGTAAACTGTGAAGGAGTTTTTGTACTGATGAAATTTCATTGTGTAGCTAACGTGTCAGTGTATAATTAACATGCTAGTGTGTAGTTATCGTGTCAGGGTGTCGTTAATTTGTCAGTGTGTAGTTAACATGTTAGTGTGTAGTTATCGTGTAAGTGTGTAGTTAACGTGTTAGTGTGTAGTTAACGTGTCAGTAAGTAGTTAACGTGTCAGTGTGTAGTTAACGTGTCAGTAAGTAGTTAACGTGTCGGTAAGTATTTAACATGTCAGTGTGTAGTTAACGTGTTGGTCTGTAGTTAACGTGTTGGTCTGTAGTTAACGTGTTGGTCTGTAGTTAAATTGTCAGTGTAGCTATGTTTTTCAACGCATCACGTCATGGTTTTCCTCAGTGATCAGGTGACATGGGTCAGGCAGCATCGTGTGGGTCTAGAAAAGTTGTAGGTGAGCTAAATATAATCGTAACTACTTGTGCGTGTGGGTCTTGGAAAGTTGTGGGTGAGCTAAATATAACCTTAACTACTTGTGCGTGTGGGTCTAGGAAAGTTGTAGGTGAGCTAAATATAACCTTAACTACTTGTGCGTGTGGGTCTAGGAAAGTTGTAGGTGAGCTAAATATAACCTTAACTACTTGTGCGTGTGGGTCTAGGAAAGTTGTGGGTGAGCTAAATATAACCTTAACTACTTGTGCGTGTGGGTCTAGGAAAGTTGTAGGTGAGCTAAATATAACCTTAACTACTTGTGCGTGTGGGTCTAGGAAAGTTGTAGGTGAGCTAAATATAACCTTAACTACTTGTGCGTGTGGGTCTAGGAAAGTTGTAGGTGAGCTAAATATAACCTTAACTACTTGTGCGTGTGGGTCAAGGAAAGTTGTAGGTGAGCTAAATATAACCTTAACTGCTTGTGCGTGTGGGTCTAGGAAAGTTGTAGGTGAGCTAAATATAACCTTAACTACTTGTGCGTGTGGGTCTAGGAAAGTTGTAGGTGAGCTAAATATAACCTTAACTGCTTGTGCGTGTGGGTCTAGGAATGTTGTAGGTGAGCTAAATATAACCTTAACTACTTGTGCGTGTGGGTCTAGGAAAGTTGTAGGTGAGCTAAATATAACCTTAACTACTTGTGCTTGTGGGTCTAGGAAAGTTGTGGGTGAGCTAAATACTTGTGCGTGTGGGTCTAGGAAAGTTGTAGGTGAGCTAAATATAACCTTAACTACTTGTGCGTGTGGTTCCAGGAAAGTTGTGGGTGAGCTAAATACTTGTGCGTGTGGGTCTAGGAAAGTTGTAGGTGAGCTAAATACTTGTGCGTGTGGATCTAGGGAAGTTGTAGGTGAGCTAAATACTTGTGCGTGTGGGTCTAGAAAAGTTGTAGGTGAGCTAAATACTTGTGCGTGTGGGTCTAGGAAAGTTGTAGGTGAGCTAAATATAACCTTAACTACTTGTGCGTGTGGGTCTAGGAATGTTGTAGGTGAGCTAAATATAACCTTAACTGCTTGTGCGTGTGGGTCTAGGAAAGTTGTAGGTGAGCTAAATATAACCTTAACTGCTTGTGCGTGTGGGTCTAGGAATGTTGTAGGTGAGCTAAATATAACCTTAACTGCTTGTGCGTGTGGGTCTAGGAAAGTTGTAGGTGAGCTAAATATAACCTTAACTACTTGTGCGTGTGGGTCTAGGAAAGTTGTAGGTGAGCTAAATATAACCCTAACTACTTGTGCGTGTGGGTCTAGGAAAGTTGTAGGTGAGCTAAATATAACCTTAACTACTTGTGCGTGTGGGTCTAGGAAAGTTGTAGGTGAGCTAAATATAACCTTAACTACTTGTGCGTGTGGGTCTAGGAAAGTTGTGGGTGAGCTAAATACTTGTGCGTGTGGGTCTAGGAAAGTTGTAGGTGAGCTAAATACTTGTGCGTGTGGGTCTAGGAAAGTTGTAGGTGAGCTAAATATAACCTTTTTTCAAATGTTTAACATCGTGAGACGACAACATCCTTTTTCTAGAACACACACAGCCACACACACAGCCACACACACTGCCCTCCCCTCACATTGCCCTCACAAAAGGCCTACTAATTATTACGTCACATGTAGAAAACAAAAATCTAGTTCGAAACTAGCAATCCATATGGCAGATGGAGTAGAGTGTATCTATATCATGACTACATAATATACATATATGATGTGGTCAGCACTATGCGCCAAGTTGCCTTGTTTTTCCCTGACGTGGGTCAGGTACCCATCAGAGCTGGGTGGACTAGAGTCAGGTACCCATCAGAGCTGGGTGGAGTAGAGTCAGGTACCCATCAGAGCTGGGTGGACTAGAGTTAGGTACTCATCAGAGCTGGGTGGACTAGAGTCAGGTACACATCAGAGCTGGGTGGACTAGAGTCAGGTACCCATCAGAGCTGGGTGGACTAGAGTCAGGTACCCATTAGAGCTGGGTGGACTAGAGTCAGGTACCCATCAGAGCTGGGTGGACTAGAGTCAGGTACCCATCAGAGCTGGGTGGACTAGAGGCAGGTACCCATCAGAGCTGGGTGGACTAGAGTCAGGTACCCATCAGAGCTAGGTGGACTAGAGTCAGGTACCCATCAGAGCTGGGTGGACTAGAGTTAGGTACCCATCTGAGCTGGGTGGACTAGAGTCAGGTACCCATTAAAGCTGGGTGGACTAGAGTCAGGTACCCATCAGAGCTGGGTGGACTAGAGTCAGGTACCCATCAGAGCTGGGTGGGCTAGAGTCAGGTACCCATCCGAGCTGGGTGGACTAGAGTCACGTACCCATCAGAGCTGGGTGGACTAGAGTTAGGTCATGTGTAGTTTTATTGTTGACGCTGAACTCATCTCTCCCGCAGCCAACCAGAGCTACGATCATCACGTGACCAGTTATCCAGCCAAAGATAGGATGGAAACACGTTTGACAGACACTAGGTCGTTAGACATAAATATGACATATACTAGGGAGCTAGACAGAGATTTGACAGATACTAGAGAGTTAGACAGAGATATGACATATACTAGGGAGCTAGACAGAGATTTGACAGATACTAGAGAGTTAGACAGAGATATGACATATACTAGGGAGCTAGACAGAGATTTGACAGATACTAGAGAGTTAGACATAAATATGACATATACTAGGGAGCTAGACAGAGATTTGACAGATACTAGAGAGTTAGACAGAGAAAAAACAGATAATAGAGAGTTAGACGGAGATTTGACAGATACTAGAGAGTTAGACAGAGATTTGACAGATACTAGAGAGTTAGACAGAGATTTGACAGATACTAGAGAGTTAGACAGAGATTTGACAGATACTAAGGATTCAGACAGAGATTTGACAGATACTAGGGATTCAGACAGAGATATGACAGATACTAGGGAGTTAGGGTTAGGGATAGATTTGACGGACACGAAACTGCTAGGCCGACATTTAAGAGACGAGAGACAGCTGGAGGATGTGCGTCAGGTACTACATGACTCACCTCACCTGATGGTAACTGTCCAGAATATTCTGGAACTCACCGAGTCTGAGAGCGGGGAACTTAAGGCAGACATTTTAAGTCTGTCCAGTAACTCTCGAGACAGACAACTGGTGGAGGAGGTTCTAAATATGACAGACTTTTTCAAGCAGACGATGGCGATGTTTACGTCTGGCCACAGACAGACAGACAGACAAACCGACAGACTGACATGCTTGCAGCTATGGAACATTCTGTCTGGAACATTGCCTTCGGTCATCGCGGAACTCAGCGCCAAAGATCATCTTCAGCATCTGTCAAATGACGTCATTCGTTGGCTGCGAAACGACGATGAACACCCACAGGTCAGTTTGACATGTGGGGGGGGGGGCTATGTATAGAGAGGGTTGGGGCTATGTATCAGCCAACTAAACCTAAACCAAAAACCACTTGATATTGACAGTTTTCTTAACTTAACCTAAACCAAAGCCCACTTGATATTGACAGTTTTCTTAACTAAACCTAAACCAAAGCCCACTTGATATTGACAGTTTTCTTAACTAAACCTAAACCAAAGCCCACTTGATATTGACAGTTTTCTTAACTAAACCTAAACCAAAGCCCACTTGATATTGACAGTTTTCTTAACTAAACCTAAACCAAAGCCCACTTGATATTGACAGTTTTCTTAACTAAACCTAAACCAAAGCCTACTTGATATTGACAGTTTTCTTAACTAAACCTAAACCAAAGCCCACTTGATATTGACAGCCCAGAGAGCAGATAGAGACGCTGAAGCTACTGTGGGGCGCTAGCCAGCACCCTGAGGGCGCCTTGTGGGTGCCAGACCTTAAAATGGAGGCTGTGCTCACGGGACTACTTCTCAAACATCAAGGTCAAGGTGAGCTACACTTTTCTACCTCTCTCTAGCCTGACGGCACTCGTGACAAATCACGTGATGCCACCAGACGATCACGTGACCTATTTCAATACTATTTCTAGAAGAGCTGAGCACATGGCTTGAGATACTATTGACCAGTGGCCTAGATGAAACTCGGCAACAATATACAACAGCAGGGTATGGCGTCATGGACAAGATGATCAGTCAGTTACGTCATCCTGGCGAGTCACAAGCTAAGCACAATGTCAGGTAGTTGTCGTTACATCACGGCAGTACATATGTATTTATATAGCCGCGGGGATAGATGAAAGTCTCAAGAAATATAAATTAACGGTTTTACTAATGCGTTACCAATCCTGTGGTTTTAGACGCGTGACCTTGTTTTTAAAACCGAGTTTTTAAAATGTAAACACTGCCTGCGCGTGGATCATAAATATCGGGACAAGGGTTTACCTACACAACCGCGTGAAAACCTACAGTGTACTCACAGAAATAATGAGGTACAACACACTTCACTGACCACCCATGTGTCAGTGACGTATAGGGGCGCTCTCTGAGCCCCCAGTTACACTACCGCAGAGGTCCCGCGACGGCCCCTGGCTACTTAAAACTAACATAGGCGCCATCGTGCTCATAGGATAACTAAGAGTGCCTAATAGCATTCTGTTAACAATGATGCAGATTGCGCCATTCACTAAAGTGACACAAATGCACAGGATTTTTTCTTCAACACATAAAAAATTGTTTGACGTGTTTTAAACATCAGTGTGACGGATGCAATATGTTAGCGTTATTAATGGTCTATTATTAGATCCTCGATCTCAGTTTCTGATTGGATCGTCTAAAAATAGATGCTAATTGCGTCATTCGCAAACTGTTTACTTTTTTTTACAGACAAAAAGAAACATCCCAGTTAATAATCAAACCTTGGTTAATTTTTCTGATTATTAAAATAAAACGTATTGCATGGCCCTCAGCGGCCCACGTGAGCCTTTGAGGGCCGAAACTGAAATTTTTGTTCCCATCCAAATCGCACCCTACCAGGGCGCCGGCGGAATTGCCTGATTTAATTTAGTGAGCCACTCTAACGCCCCATCTTATCCATTGTCTATCACACTGTTTAGACCGAACGTAGTTGCAATAGAGATCACGGGAAAGACCGGGGCGCCAAATCGCATCCTGTCCTGGGCCGCCCGTGCGAAAATTTAAAAAAAAAAGATTTTTTTTGCAGCACCATTCCCTGCGGTGTTCTAATCAATTCCCTAAAGTTCGGTGGCGATGGGATGAACGGTCTGAAATCGCAATCAACATTTTTTTTAAATATCATATATGGAGAAACATCGCAACCTCCCGTGGCGAGGCCTTTGCGAAATTAAGAATTATTTTAATACAGAAACGTTACTTGGAGTGTTCTAATCAACTCCTCAATGTTTTATGGCGATCGGATATACGATGAACCGCAATCGACTTTGATTTTTTATATACCGTATATATAGAAAAAACAAATGGCGCCCTAATGGGGCGCCATCCTTGCGAATTTGAAATTTTTTCCCCGCGGAAAACTCCCCAGGAATATTCTCAACAATTTCCCAAAGTTTCACGGCGACCGGATGAAAAGTGTAGTCATGAATAAAAACAGACAGACAGACGGGGACACACATTTATTGCTTTATATATATGTATATATATATATATATATATATATATATATATATATATATATATATATATATATATATATATATATATATATATAAAATTGCTAATGTAAATTCCCCCACCAGCACCAAAGTTGTCCTGCAAGTTGTGGCACATCTGCTGAATGATGAGGACATGATTGAGAGATTTGACCAAAAGGGGGGCCCGGGACTCATCCAAACGTTCTTGACCTCCCCTGACCCTGAGATCCAAGTGTGTGCAGCAGAATGTCTGTATCAGCTGGGATGGAATCCTGACATCTGGCATCGTCTGATGGTGAGTGACGTCACAATAGGCAGACTTTGAAGAATGTCTGTGCGTTGTTACATGAAATTCTGCACATATAAAATGACATCCGATTGTGTTTGACAGTGCAGCAAAACCATCACAATAGTTCTTAAACTGTTTTATGAAACTAAACCCCAACTCTTCGTATACCCATTCACAGAACTCCTCTAAATTAAAGGGAAAAACGAAATTAATTTTTTAATAGAATAGAATCTCGCCGAAAAAAGAATTGCGCACCAAATGAGCAGCAAATAATCTGTGTGAAATAGTGCCGAACATTAGTACATGATAAAGAAAGACAGGGAATCAAGTTAGGAATATGGCGATAATAATAAAATAAATTATTATATTCTTCGGTCTGCTATTTTTACCAAAAAAGCATACAGAATTGAACTTATATATATATATATATATATATATATATATATATATATATATATATATATATATATATATATATATATATATATATATATATATATATATATATATATAATTTATATAATTTATAGGGATACATATTTGTCCTCATAAATTCAGTTAACAGTAAAAACTATGAAATATTGAGTAAAGATATTGCATTGATTAGAGCTTGAGATTAATTCAATCAATATTTCTCTACTACAAGTTGATTAGTGACGTCAGCGCCTGTCTATAAACTTCGATACGTGTAGCGATCAATATAACAAGCATTATGTGAACAATGCTGTGCCTTGAGACGATCGGTCTGTTGGCTACTGCCTTGATCCACATTTACAATTGGGGCAGTTCTGTTGGGGTTGGTAGTCGCGTTATTCAAGTGTCAAATTTATCGTGTAAGCTCGTTTATATTTAAAATATATACAGTAATTACACAGTAATATGTGCTTGTAAACCACAACATAAATAGACATCATTTCATTCCCAAACACAAAATCTAAAACCGACGTATTGAACCCTTCATTTATTTTTATCTTTGAAAAATGCATGCAAAATACCTTTATAATAAAACACTTAAATGCACCGAAAATATCACGATAAAACTAACTGGTTTGTTTCTTTTTTAAAATAAAAAGAATTGATCATGTTACTGATACTCCAGTAGCGTATTACTGTTTTATGTGACTGTGTGGCTGTATGACTTAAGACAATATATCTAAATGACTGTGACTTGATCCCACTCCAGGAAAGCGAAGAAGTCAAACATCTACTGGACAGTGGATTTGAAGGCTCACTTGACCCACACATGAAAGACGTCTGTATCAGATTTAAAGTTCTAGGAAAAATCCACAAACCACCCGTAGGTGAGTAAGTTTCTTCCGTCTTGTTAAGTTGCTTATTCTGCGATACATGAAATACATATCCGATTAATGGAAACTCAACCTCCATCCAATGACCTCCAATATATATATTTCTAATGTAGGTGAACAAACCCCAGCACTAAGCACACATTTTCAACCTCATGTCATGCTCAGCTATAACTGGAATGTCAAGGACAGTATACATCGCGTAAGTTATGGGGCGACCAATGGTTACATGACTGTTGTAACTATCAGACCAATGGTTACATCACTGTTGTAAGTTATATTGGTTACATGACTGTTGTAAGTTATACTGGTTACATGACTGTTGTAAGTTACACTGGTTACATGACTGTTGTAAGTTACACTGGTTACATCACTGTTGTAAGTTACACTGGTTACATCACTGTTGTAAGTTACACTGGTTACATCACTGTTGTAAGTTACACTGGTTACATCACTGTTGTAAGTTACACTGGTTACATCACTGTTGTAAGTTACACTGGTTACATCACTGTTGTAAGTTACACTGGTTACATCACTGTTGTAAGTTACACTGGTTACATGACTGTTGTAAGTTACACTGGTTACATCACTGTTGTAAGTTACACTGGTTACATGACTGTTGTAAGTTACACTGGTTACATGACTGTTGTAACTATCAGACCAATGGGAAGAAGGGGGACAAAACGTAAGAGGAGACAAATACTTGGGGAGTGAGAACAAACATGGGAGATTTTCAAAGTAGGGGGCGCAGCAAATGGGTGTGGGGGGGTGCGCAGCTAATAGGGGGAGCAGCGAATAGGGTGGGGTGGGGTGCGCAGCTAATAGGGGGCGCAGCAAATGGGTGTGGGGGGGTGCGCAGCTAATAGGGGGAGCAGCGAATAGGGTGGGGGTGTATCAGGGGGGGGGGGAACAAAGTTGTGAGCCAAAAGAAGCGAAAGAAAATAAGTGGACGGGGGAGGGTAAATGTTTGAAAATATTTCAGAATAAAACTTTCTTTACAGATTAACGAAAATCTAAGCAAGAACGACATTGCTACGTGGCTAGACACTAAGGACATGGGGGATCATTTGATGGACAGCATGGCAGAGGCTGTAGAAAAGGCTTACGTTGTTGTCATAGCGGCCACAGAAAAGTACCAGTTCAGCAAGAACTGTAAGCTAGGTACATAAAAACGTAAGGTTGACATATGCCATACATTTTTGAGATCAACAGATAGAAAAATAAAACAAAAAGAAGAGAGGCAAAATGTTCCTAGAATTTTCACTTTGTGAAATAAATTTATACAATTTTCCAAATCGATTTTAAAAAATCGAAACTTAAGGACAGCACTACGTGCGGTTACCGGAAATCACTGAAAGAATTATAAAACTCTATGTATTAGCTTTAAATAATATAAGAAATTTCATCCATTTAATGGAAACGGCACTAAAGTAGAGTAAAATACCACTTAAGACAAGCGGAAATTACTTACAAGTTGAAAGAAGCCTACCTGTACGATCAAATACTTATATTTAAAATTGAGTCCAACTGACTTAAAAGTTCCTTAAATTTAAAAAAGTTGGAAATGTGGCGCCACCCTCTATTATCGGAAATCAATTTCAAGAAACATTAGTTTATGATCTTAGACGTATTTAAAAATTCCGTCTACCTTATGGATCCCAAAGAGTTTGGCCTCTACCATCATTATTGTTCACATGGATTTAAAAAATGTTTTTAAACTTTTATTTTAGTTGCTTTCACTGTCGTGCTTTTTTCTGTCGTCATCGATCCAAAATGACTAGCGAAATTTCGAGCACTTTTAGTGAACATTTTCCACGGAACTTTGCAAGAGGGTTAACAAAATAAACTAAATTAGGTCATAAAATGCATTTTTATATTTTAACGTAAAATAATGAACTACTTTTTAAAGAACTAAAAATAAAAGCTAGGGTAGTTTCTTAAATTTTATTAGAGGTACTCAGTGCAAAATATTACGACCCAAGCTTTTCTTTTTACTTCTTTAAATAGTAGTTCATTTTTCTTATTTAAATAAAATAATTTTTTTTTTTTTGCTTTTTTAATATGTTATTAAAAAATTTTAGTGCATTTTTGGTGTACCTTTTGGGTTCACAGTGGCCGTAATTAAATAATTTGAAATAATTTCATAAGCTAGTTATGCCATGTATATTTACAGTTTCACGGAGAAAATAGCTTTGGCTTTTTAAAAAATAAATAATTAGTCACCGAAAATACTAACAACATAAATTTGGCCTGAAAAATGATACAAAATGAAGTTTGTATGAGCATATTTATTTTATTATAAATCAACAGGAACAGTCGAGACTAATCCCGCTAGTGTCCAATGAAACAATACTTAAGTTTACATGGAAATTTAGTACAGTGGACACAAACCTACGTGTACGGACAGACGGGCAGACGGACCATCGGGCAGACGGGCAGACGGGCAGACGGACAGACGGACAGACGGATAGACGATCAAAAGAACAGAAGAACAGACGGACAATCGGGCAGACGGACAGAAGAACAGACGGACAGACGGACAGAAGAACAGAAGAACAGACGGACAGACGGATAGACGATCAAAAGAACAGAAGAACAGACGGACAATCGGGCAGAAGGACAGAAGAACAGACGGACAGACGGACAGAAGAACAGAAGAACAGAAGAACAGACGGACAGACGGATAGACGGACAGACGGACAGACGGAAGAATAGACGGGCAGATGGATAGACGAACAGAAGAACAGAAGAACAGACGGGCAAACGGACACAAGAACAGACGGACAGACGGACAGACGAATAGACGGATAGACGGATAGACGATCAAAAGAACAGAAGAACAGACGGGCAAACGGACACAAGAACAGAAGAACAGACCGACAGACGGACAAACGGACAAACGGACAGAAGAACAGAAGAACAGACGGACAGACGGGCAGACCGGCAGACGAATAGACGGGTAGACGGATAGACGGACAATCGAGCAGACGGACAGACCGGCAAACGGACACAAGAAAAGAAGAACAGACCGACAGAAGAACAGACGGACAGACCGACAGACGGACAGACGGACAGACGGACAGACGGACAGACGGACAGACGGACAGACCGACAGACGGACAGACCGACAGACCGACAGACGGACAGACGGACAGACCGACAGACCGACAGATGGACAGACGGGCAAACGGACAGATTGCTTAAAGACAGGGTTATACAAAACTAGATTTGTTTTCTACTGAGGAACATGTTAAACGAGTAAAACGCTGATATTGTTTAAAATCTTAGTTTTACTTTTTTCTTTCACGATTACGATGATTTCTCTCTAATTTTTTAAAAGAAAGAAAGAAAATATGTGTGTCTAGAGACTCGATTGATGGTTTTCACTGACTCTAGAAAACGTATTCCCCCAGAAGCGAAATACGCGCATCACCTTAACAAACGGCTGATATTTGTGAAGTTGGACAGCTACAAGCCGACCGGCTGGCTGGGCCTATTACAATCTGACCTCTTGTATATCAATTTTACCAGTAAGTATTAACGTTAAACTTTATAAGGGATGTGGTGTGAGGCTGAATATAGAGGGGGGTGAGATCGATTGTAGGAAAAAAGTCACAGGAAAAAAAAACCCAGGAAAAAAAACACAGAAAAAAAAAGTCACAGGAAAAAAAGTCACAGGAAAAAAGTCACAGGAAAAAAAGTCACAAATATATATTTGCATGATATTTGTTAATACTTTTATGTATTAAATATTTAGAGAGTGCTAATTAACTTAGGATTAATTAAATGTAATGTAATGTGTGTGGGCTGTATACGCCTAGGAATTTTTATAAATCATCTAAAAATATTTATTATGAAGAATGTAGATTGTAATTATTTTAAACTTAAGATTAGTAGCATTTAATAGAATGCTCCAAAGTCCACGTTTTTCATCGTGTTTTTTTTTAAATACCCATATTAAATTACCGTGAAATGGTAAGTTCATCTGACTTGCTGCCCTCAACTCATGGTAACAATAGTTATGTTTAGTTCAACCACCTTTACTGCTCACATTTATCACGCTCATTACATAACAAAACTTAGGATCAAAACAGAAAGCCGACAAGGTTCAAAGGCTGTCATTGACGCATAACGTCAACAACACAAAATATGTTCGGACAATGCCTATTGAGGAGAGGCCGTCTAGAGAATAGCATACGGCAAAATGTGCCTAAATTTCTTTTATAATTAACTTTTCTACCGCGTATTTAACTAAATACGTAACAAAAGTTGAGAGTGTTGTGTTAATTATCTTAGAGTATTTTTACTTACAATTGTTATAAATCATAATGCTTTTAACGTCTATAAATAATTTATGCTATACAAAAATACAACCCACAACAATAAACATACACAATTTTACAATTATTAACAAATTAATAAAAATATTTCTAAAAAGATTTTTGTGACTTTTTTTCTGTGACTTTATTTCTGTGACTTTTTTTCCGATAAAATTTTTCCACTGTGACTTTTTTTCCTAGCAAAAACTGTGACTTTTTTTCTGTGTTTTTTTTCCTGTGACTTTTTTTCCGTTCACGTGAGATCAGGCGAGACAAACATGTTGCATCGCGACTCTACAGGCTAGTTTATATTGATATGAACAATGCTCAGTTTACTTTCTTCGATTGCTACTAACGTGAAACGGCACTTCGTTCAGCTCCAGTGTAAGTTCAAGAATAGTTCATATTTCTTGAATAGTTCATATTTCTTGAATAGTTCATATTTCTTGAATAGTTCATATTTCTTGAATAGTTCATATTTCTTGAATAGTTCATATTTCTTGAATAGTTCATATTTCTTGAATAGTTCATATTTCTTGAATAGTTCATATTTCTTGAATAGTTCATATTTCTTGAATAGTTCATATTTCTTGAATAGTTCATATTTCTTGAATAGTTCATATTTCTTGAATAGTTCATATTTCTTGAATAGTTCATATTTCTTGAATAGTTCATATTTCTTGAATAGTTCATATTTCTTGAATAGTTCATATTTCTTGAATAGTTCATATTTCTTGAATAGTTCATATTTCTTGAATAGTTCATATTTCTTGAATAGTTCATATTTCTTGAATAGTTCATATTTCTTGAATAGTTCATATTTCTTGAATAGTTCATATTTCTTGAATAGTTCATATTTCTTGAATAGTTCATATTTCTTGAATAGTTCATATTTCTTGAATAGTTCATATTTCTTGAATAGTTCATATTTCTTGAATAGTTCATATTTCTTGAATAGTTCATATTTCTTGAATAGTTCATATTTCTTGAATATAGTTAGACACACGTTTAAATATAGTTAGATACACGTTTAAATATAGTTATACACACGTGGAAATATAGTTAGACACACGTGTAAACTAGGTAAAAATGTCAAAACGTCCCCAGCCTCTCTAAGGTTAACATCGCCAACCCCCCTCTCGTTTTTGCTCCTGACCCTCTAATGTTAATATATGTTATCACTTTTTAATTAACGACAGGAAAAATAATGTTTATAATTATTTGGTCTTTTAAATCTAAATAAATATTTCAATGTTCAAATATTTTTTTCTTTTCTCCCTTGAAAATATATTGTTGTCCCTTAGACCTAACTTGACGTGAACTCACTAGCTCTACACCGCGAAATGCAGCTGTCATTTCTTCATGTCAATGTTTATTTAAAGTGAGCCCTCCCTATAGAACCCACAAACGTCTGTCGCTGTATTGAAGTGTCTAGCCTAGTCTGTCAGAACTTTAGTCCTAAATCTTAAGTGGACTGATTACACACAGACACACACACACACACACAAACATAATATGAAGTTGACATTTATATCTTGCGTTTTCCATGTGTTTCGGACTGGTTATATATCTGACATGTTTATAGACTGGGTATATACCTGACATGTTTATAGACTGTGTATATACCTGACATGTTTATAGACTGGGTATATACCTGACATGTTTATAGACTGGGTATATACCTGACATGTTTATAGACTGGGTATATACCTGACATGTTTATAGACTGGGTATATACCTGACATGTTTATAGACTGGGTATATACCTGACATGTTTATAGACTGGGTATATACCTGACATGTTTATAGACTGGGTATATACCTGACATGTTTATAGACTGGGTATATACCTGACATGTTTATAGACTGGGTATATACCTGACATGTTTATAGACTGGGTATATACCTGACATGTTTATAGACTGGGTATATACCTTACATGTTTACTAAAGTACTTCAACAGGAATGCTTTAAAAAAAGATACATTATAATCTGAGACAATTTTGGAATCACAGTAGTTGCGATACCAGTATTTATACTGCTCAAGTACGGAAGTTTGTCCTTGTCTTTTTGCAATTGAAGCATGAAATTTATTTATTTTATTCTCGTAATAAAATTTAGACACATTATGCCTAAAACATGTTTGTGTAAATAGTTAGTTTGGGAGTGATTTTTATATTCTTAGTATTCTTTCAAGTCCCCTCGACCATATATGTGTATATATATATATACATACATATATATATATATATATATATATATATATATATATATATATATATATATATATATATATATATATATATATATATATATATATATATATATATATATATATATATATATATATATATATATATATATATATATATATATATATATATATATATATATATTAGGTGCAGAAAATTAAATGTAAGCTCAATTCGTCCATGAGTTAGCCACAGTTGTAACGATAGTTAGTCTAACATGTGTAAAGATAGTTCAAACACAGTTTTAAAATGTAAACCATCTAAAACATCAATACAAATCTCACATTTGACAATTCATATTTAATTGCGTATTAGAACTTTATAGTTAATGTTAATTAAAAGGCATTTTTAAAACTATTTTTTTTCCTGCATGTAGATCTTATAATATGTGTGACGTATGTGCCTTATAACGTGAGACGAACAGGTTGTAGCTCAAGGCCTAACAATGTTGTTGTTTTTATTTGGCAGAGAATTTTGATGACGCAATGGAACAGCTGATTACAGCTATAAAAAACCAGCGGGAACAAAATGACGCCGGCCACAACAAAGTACATTTGTGTGACGTTCATATTCTAGGCTAGCTTTAAAATGACGCAGGCCACAACAAAGTACATGTGTGTGACGTTCATATTCTAGGCTAGCTTTAAAATGACGCAGGCCACAACAAAGTACATTTGTGTGACGTTCATATTCTAGGCTAGCTTTAAAATGACGCAGGCCACAACAAAGTACATGTGTGTGACGTTCATATTCTAGGCTAGCTTTAAAATGACGCAGGCCACAACAAAGTACATTTGTGTGACGTTCATATTCTAGGCTAGCTTTAAAATGACGCAGGCCACAACAAAGTACATTTGTGTGACGTTCATATTCTAGGCTAGCTTTTATACCTAGAGTAAAGCATAGAAAATCAACATTATCCTTTAAATTTGCAACAATTGTATTTTAGAAGCTTTTCCTTAGTTCACAACGACCGTTTGTTTGTTTGCGTGTTTGTGGTAAATCTTTGACCTACTTTTAAGGGGATATACCCCGCAAAAAATCACAAAATTTCTTGTTTTTCGTCATGATGGGTTTCTTGCACTTTTGAATACTTTGTCCATTTTTGTATTAAGAAAATAATAACTTTAATGAGAAAAAAAAAGGTTATGTCTTTAAAATAACAATGACCCTATTAATTAGAAAATAATCATTTTTTTCCCACACTTACAAGCTCTCTACGAAAAGTTCTATATGTCACCATATTGTATTGGCACCATTGGAAAGCTGGAATTCTCCTTTATTTGATAATCTTAATTTCCATCATCTCGGAAACACCCAAAGCTTACAATGGGCTTTACAAATTACACAGATATAATATTTTCGTGACCTACTTTTCGTTACTTTTGGCTGTTTTTCTCTGTTCGCAGGTTTTTAACACTAAAAAGCCTACTACTTTTATTCATTAAACAATGCCCACCATATTTTCAGTAATTGTTCTTAATGCAAAAAATACAACTTTTATCATGAGAAAAAAGTATATGGTAATTAATATGCAAATTTTGAAACTTTTGAATACTAAAAAGGGCACGATTTTTCAGACCGTGTAAAATTCTTACTAGTAAAAAAGTTGTCGTGACTAAAGTTTTAGTATATAATGAAATATAAGCAGTTTAAATTTGATCGCTACAAGTTCATAAATTTAAAAAAAAAACAGTAGCATTTTTAAAAGTACCGAAAAATTCAAAATGGCGGAAGGTTTTTGGGTT